CGTGTGGAAATTTCTCTTTTTTGTATCGAAAAAATATCAAACCGTCAGACTAAAGTATCGAACCGAACCGAACTGAATTGTGAATTTCCTGTATCGTTGTACCCCTAATATGTTTATTAAACCAGTGCCTTAACTTAACACATTTATGCTCAAATGCCTGTATAACAGTTGTACTTTTATTTCATAAATATAAATACAAAAAGTTTGAAGTAAACAAAAAGTTACAGCAGAAGGGTAACAGTATGATGCCTTGAGTACAGACTTATGTGTGGTTGTGATGAAATGTCACTGTAGTTTATGTATTTGTAACTTCAGTAAACCCCGTATTTAGCTTTGTGCACTGTGTTGTAGTGGCGWCTTCATGGCAGRCAACGTCTCTAAGCAAAATAAACAGGTTTGCCTTGAAATTCTGTAAACAGATTGGCCAGACGGAAGTCACCTTTGGGCCAAATGAGGCCCGCGGGTTGCCAGTTGCCCATCCCTGATTTATACAGTGCAAAATTTCATAGTTGGGAAAATTTGGGCTGAYCAGCATTTCACTATTTGATTTCACTATTTGACTCATGATGGGACATAAATATTGACCACTTCCTGTTTGTTTACTCTCCTGGAAATAACTTGTTGGGAGTCTTTCCTTCGCCCCTATCTCACACATATTTGTGGTGTGTTGCGGTAAGTGGCTTTCCTAATGTGTCAATGTTAGGAAATGCTCAGTGTAACAAGAWGCATCAGCTTAATCTGCTTAAATGAGACAAATTGGGTGATTTCTCTTCCTGTGTGGACAAACAAATGTGGACAAGACGCTGAATGTTTGACTCCAGAAAAGATGYCAATGTCACTTTATGCAGTTTGCTTTTTATTAGAGACACTTTGTTTTACCCAGGAGAAAGATGACTCTCAAATTTATACTTATATATTAAGCACAGTGACATTTTAGTCCTGTTGTTGTGGTTTAATTTTAATTCATTTTAAAAGAAAAGGCTTTTTCATTCAAAAGTTATTATTTTAGGTTCATATTAAAGGTTAGTGCAGGTATTTGTCACTTAGCAAAATGGCATAATTRTAACATTGTGTTAAATAAATTCAAAACTTTATTTTAGATTTTGGCATTATTTGCTTTCAACACATTTTCATGCACGGATAAGCTTGTATTTTCCTCGGTGAACTTCTACAAGAAAAAAGGTCTGCCCCTTACAGAGCTGTACCATGTCCACAAATTGTTTTTCTTTTGTTATTTTCRACAATAATTGACATCACTTGTAAGCAATTATAAAAACCACACAACAGCCACAAAGAAGACCAGCTTGTCTCCACTTTCAGCTCGGAGAAAGTACAGCAAGAACTCCTTAGAAAAGGCAGAAGAAAGAACATCCTTTCTTTAATTAAACACTCACTGGTACACGAGTTAAATTATCCAATCTCTGTATTGATTTAATCTGTCTTCACCTTCTTTCTAAGTGTTCCTCACTGTCTCTTCTCATTTGTGTGAGCATGTTTTTCTTTTCTCTCCCTCCCCGAACTCTATGTGTTTGGAAATGTGTCTCATCTGCTTCTGGGGTGCTGGCAGCTCAAATGCCACGTCAAGACCAAGATGATCCAAGCTGTTCTGATGGACAGATAAGTTGAGGGTCTTGACAGCTCAGACTGGCTCAGGTGTGCAGGTCAGAGTCCTGATGAAAGTTATCACGTCAATGGAGCCGAAACTTTGGTGCAAACGTGTCTGTTGACCCACGTCAAGCCACTGGTATTCTTGTTGCGTCACTGCTCCCCCTAAAGTCCTTTTAAACTGTTTTATKTTATCTACATCTTTATGTAAAACAGCAAAAAAATTATGAAAGAACATTAGATTTTTATTTAAATTATATATAGGGAAGTTGTTGCATTTAAACAGTACATGACAAAAGGCACATAAATTACAAACATGTCTATTGAAAGCACTTTAGAAACCTCTTTTCCTCCCATCCATTTAGCACCCTATAGCTCTTTCCTGCAAATATGATAACTACTCACACACCCAGGTTGAATGTATTACCAGCTCATCATGCTGAAGGCAGGCGTCATGAACAAGAAGCCTGATAATGGAGGGCAGCTGCTTGCTTTAGGATGTCCAACTAATGCACGAGAAAATACGAGAAAGTGTTTGAAAGGGCCGACTCTTCAAACTGACATGTCTGTCTGCTGTTCCTGTAAACTGAAGACATTTCCACATTTCACGTTATTATTAAGCAGCTGGTAAAAAGTGTATGTAATAAATGTAATAAATGACTTTATGTACACACAGACAACACTGTTTTAATCTGAAGCAAACAATGGGAAAAATCTAGATATTTATGATAAAAAAACATGTAAAAAAATACCTGAAAGGAGGTTTAATTAAGTGAATAAAATAGTCAGAGATGAATTTTAAAAAGTCTAATAAAACTGTTTTTTACAAAAGCAGGTTTTAGCGAATATTTCTTGTAATAATGCAGGGATGTTTTTATTACTTGCTAAAAAATTGAGGAAAATATATGCAATAACATACAAACCTCCAATTATTTTAATTATAAAGATACTCTGGTGGTTTGAAGTTTCCACAGACTAGCTTCTCAGTTTTGCTTTATCACATTAGACATCATCTAATAATAAGAAAAAGTAATCTATTGTATATTACTAATAAGTATACGTATCTAATTTCCCCTCTGGTGATTAATAAAGTTGACTATCTATTATTTCATGTTTTCTAAGCTGTTCTGTAGGGGACAGTTGAGATCCTTTGATGTGAGGTTTTTTGTAAAGATTACAAACAATAAACATCTTACCTGCTCTCTGAGGCTATCCTCAGTTTGGAGAAAAAAATCTAATTCTGAGTGAATGAGGAAACGCTTAAAACAAGCAGGGCCGATACCAAAGTGGCCTTGTTTTAGGTTAGTATCTCACTGGGCAGTGAATGTTAGAGACTAATTAGTGGCTCAAAATTGTGAGGAAATTGCAAAAATAAAAATTCTGCTGCATTGAACTCTGCGTTTGTGACCAAGCAATCTTGTTTTGGGCAGACAGTTTTTAAAAATCATGGCCACTTTTTGTGTGTGTGGCTTGAAAATATGGCTGCACTGGTAACTGAGAGGCCGGTGCCGGGAAAGGAGACAGAGTGTACTTATGTGTTAGCATTAGAGAGGCTGGTGACTGGCATGCCTAGGCTGGTCACCCACTGGATTGCCTGCTCCCTCTGCTGTCCATTACCATGGATAGATTGGCTTTAACATTTGGAGAATGGCTAACATCTAGCATACCTATTTGCAATGTTAAAGCCAGTCTATCCAATGCTAAACTCAACCTATCAATACTAAACCCAGTCTGTCCAATACTAAACCCAACCTATCCAATGCTAAACACAGTCTGTCCAATGCTAAACCCAACCTATCCAATGCTAAACACAGTCTGTCCAATGCTAAACCCAGTCTATCTAATGCTAAACCCAGTCTAGCTAATGCTAAACCCAGTCTGTCCAATGCTAAACCCAGTCTGTCCAATGCTAAATCCAACCTATCCAATGCTAAACTCAAGCTATCAATGCTAAACCCAACCTATCTAATGCTAAACCCAGTCTGTCCAATGCTAAACCCAGTCTGTCCAATGCTAAACCCAGTCTATCCAATACCCAGTCTGTCCAATGCTAAACCCAACCTATCCAATGCTAAACACAGTCTGTCCAATGCTAAACCCAGTCTGTCCAATGCTAAACCCAGTCAATCCAATACCCAGTCTGTCCAATGCTAAACCCAACCTATCCAATGCTAAACCCAGTCTGTCTAATGCTAAACCCAGTCTGTCCAATGTTAAACCCAACCCATCCAATGCTAAACCCAATCTGTCCAATACTAAACCCAGTCTATCCAATGCATTTCCATGCCAACAGACAGCAGAAGGAGCAGGGAATCCAATAGGTGACCAGCCTAGGCATGCTAGTCACTAGCATTTCCAATGCTAACATACAGTATGAGTAGTCTCCTCCTTTACCAGCACCGGCCTGTCAATTACCAGTGCCTATCAATAATCAGATCAGTAGCTGGCTTTGGAATAGATATAGCCTTGTGCTACAAGGACAAAGCAACCACTGGGTGCACAATAATTTTGGCCCTAATACCATAATTTATGAAAACCTGTATTCTAGACCTTGCACAATATTTTGTTTCCCACCTCTACCCACATTGTACCACCCAATTGGTTTGGTCGATCAGTTTACTTCTCAACTTTGCACAATATTTATCCCCTGTTTCTTTCAGCATCTTGGAAATTCAGTTGTATGTATTTCCTCTTGGTGAGATGTGAATGTGTGTGATTTCTTTTTAAGTGATTTGTCAGAACGCTGAGTCTTTTTTTCTCCCTTCCCCTCTGTCTGGGGAGAAATTAGGTGAAGTTGTTTCCAGTTAAGTTGGTGTTTACGTACCATATCTGCCACAGGGGTAATTAAATGTCTTCATGTGCTCTAATTGCCAATTTATTTCTCTGTGTTTGAGTCTTGATTTATCGAGTCAAAGATGTCAATCAAGAGGGGCGGGGGTTTCCATGGGGATAAGGCAAATGTAGAAGGTATTCTCATCAACAACTGCCCAAAATAAATTACCTGTTGCCTCTTTTGCAGAGTTGCTATGGAGAGGCAATTACCATAAATTGTAATTGTGCCCGACTGATGTGTTTATGACTTTACCTCTTAATTTAATTGGGTTTTTCCACTCTTCCCCCATCACTTGCATCGAGTGYCTGGAGTGTCAGTTTTCAGATGTGCTTCAGGGACCCAGGTGCATCCCTGCTCTCCTTCAGGCGAGGCCCCTCTTTTTCTCCCTCCGGACCACCTGCTCAGCTCCACGACACACTTCACAGTCTCCCCACGGTAGAGCAAACACAACAACCCAGGTAAGTTAAGGTGCAGTGGCCAGCACCAGCATGCACACTGATTCAGGCTGAGTCTTCATCCTTGCAGTGCGGGAACATCTGCGTGGGCGTAAATCCTCATTTAGGGCCTTGTTAATTGTGTTGAAGATGTTGGAAAACTGGGCCACCAGTGGAGGGAACGAGATCCTCAATCTCCATTCACTGCACGGGGAATAGAAATCAGCTCGCATCACCGCTGATCTGCCGTGAGGAATGGGATTAATCAATCGAAGACAGTACATCTAGCTTCAAATTAATAGCCGCGCTCGTCACCAAACGCGTAGCTCTATGTTTCTGGTGTTATTTTAGTGACAGGCTGAGTGGGTGGCATTCTTACAATGAGAAAACATCAATCAAACAAACCTTATTTTGTTTATTAAAGTCTTTTTAGAATTTATACAGCATTTACAGAAAATATGACATATTTTTCAAAAACACTGCAACAAATAAGGCAATGTTTGACCAAGTCATTCAATACATGTACTGTTTAATTTGAAGTTCACCTCATCATGCTTTACTCTAATATTTTAGTAGACAGAAAGGTTTGTGGTTGACTAAACAGCTGTCTAATTCATCACCTCACTTCCACTGTGCTTGACAGGTGTTTGTGGTGGTATGCTGTGCATTAAGGTCAAACATCTCAACTTTGGTCCCATCTGAGTTCAGCTCYTGCTTTTCCAGAGCTGCTCACACTGAAACGTTTGTTTGCTCCTTTCCCTCTTGATACCCATGGAACCAACAAGGTTAGTTTCATTTAATTAATACCAACATGGTGGGACCTGTTGTGTGCTTTTGTCCATGTAACCCTTCTCTTTCTCAACACTCACAAGTGCAGCATCATACATACTCATGCCAAGTCTGGTTCGTCCTTGTGTGCCTCCTTTTTATCTCCTGTTTATGCATCTTTCAAAGATATAAAATGACAAATTGCTTCACAATAAAGGCAAGAAAAATGTTCGTATCAAATGCTTAAAAAGTACAAGTAAAGCAGAGAAGAACAGCTAGCTGAAAGCCTGTTTGTAAAAGAAAGTCTTTAAATGTTTTTTGAAACCATCAATAGAATCAACTGGGGCAGAGCATTCCAAAGTTGGGGCATAAAAAAAAATCTCCACATGATTTGAAAAGTGTGTGGGGTACCACCAACAACCTCTGACCTTATGACCTCAACCTGCGAGATGGTGAATGGAGTTGTGTTAAACCAGAGATGTAAGACATCGTGTTCACGTAAAGCTCTAAATGTTAAAACTAGAATTTTAAAATGAACTGGGAGCTCAAACAGGTGTGATGTGAGCTTGTTTGTTAATGTGGGTTAACAACCTCTCAGCCAAATTCTGAATGAACTAAAGACGGTCCAGCTTTTTATTTAAACAATTAGCTGTTGCTGTAGTTCAACTGAGAAAAAAATAAAAGCATGAATRATCATTTCAAGTTCAGCTTTTGACATGAAGCTTTTCAGTTTCCAGTCTTGCAGACATTGCAGAATCAAAAATGACAGCCGGATTTCTGAGGCTGGACTAAACWGATGGACCTAGGGCACCAATAARCTSATTTGGGAAGCCTTATTTTCCAGCACAATTATCAGTTCAGTTGCAAGCAATTGCCATCTAGCCACTGTTTAATGCCAGCCAAACATTTTGTTAAGAAACTCACTTTCTTTGAATGAGCCATAGAGCTAAATATCATCAGCATAGAGCTGCACATTTATTGACAAGTTTTGCTTCCTTGTCAGCCTCTTTGCTTTGCTTATTATAATTCATTTTTTACTCAAGTTCGGCCAGGTTGTGTTTTTTGATTCAACCATCTTTAAACCGTGACGTTATCACGACAACAAAGACATCCATAGTTTTTTTCAGGAATTTCGGATTTTCCAGGTTAAACCAAACAACATATGATTTTATTTGATGTGCCAAAGTTTAATCTTCCAACAGCTGAAAATCTGAGCCCTGAGAAGAATGTTACGTTTCACTGTCGGTTTGTTTTTTTACACACAACAGATCCAGATGCCTTGGTAGATGAGTGGCTCACCGTCGATGCGGAGTGTCTCTGCGAGCAGCCTTCGTCTCTGTCTTTATCTGAAAACGATATCGCAGCGGTTATGGGAATCAGATGTGACAGAAGCTGGTGTTTCTGTCACAGATAGGAGCGTTTTTAGAATGAACATAATGTCACGTCTCTACCTAAAGGCTTATTTTTAAACRAATACATTTAGATGCGGTCACGTGAATCATATTTTCTCAAATCTATCATAACTAAACTCAAAGAAAATATGGTTTTGATTGTAGATAAAACTGTTTATTGAGTGATAACTGAATGATTGAAATGAATGAGAATAGACAGATAAAAAAAATACCATGAAGTAAATGTTTGCTAAATTCATGGTTTGGGCTTAAAAGAGTGACATATTGCTTTTAAAAACTAAGAAATCCTTATTTATTGGACAAATTCTTCACTCCATTTGTTTTTTATTTTTTTAGTGTTCTTGCAGTTCTGTTACAGACTGTCAGAGAAATGTATCCACACACTTTTGACCTGCACACATCACAGCTCTGCAGGCACCGCTCTGAAACTGCATCTGTGCTGCCCTCMCAAGCCTCTCGCAGGAACTTTCCTCAGCTCTAATGGAAACTCGCCTGCGCTCTCACAGTCTGATGCAAGCTGTGTCACCAGAAACACTGACTCCGTGAATCTGAGAAGACGCTCTGAAAGCGCAGACATTCCTGCACGAAGCTGATGCTTTTCTTCCACAAGACTAGAAGTGCGTGAACTGCTWCGGACTTCACGCTGGATAATTCTCGTAAACAGAGCGAACATAAAAAAGTTTGAAAATAAATGAATATATAGGATAGTTTAAAAAACTCTTTAACCTGAGCAAGTAGCTTCCAAAGCAAGGTAACCATCCATCAAAGAGCTGAAGCTTGTCAATCCTCCCATGGCGGCGTACGGAACATCTCTGCCAACAGCCTGACCTCTTGCCTCCCGCTCTGCTTTTGTCTCCACCTGTTAAGTACAAAACAAATATTTTAAGCACTAAATAATGCCCCATGTGTTTGATGTTTTCAATACTAACCAAGGTTYGGTGCACAGAACATGGCTGGCCACAACCACAAGTGTAGGGACTCTGGAACCCAGAACAGTTATTGCCTAAAAAAATAGGAAACAGGTATCACGTTTGGGTGCAGCACACGATTGCATCGAACACTTGACGACTAAAATGAGACTTACACTTGTTGCACACGTGATCCGGGGCTTCATTGTGATCCTGGGGTAAGTGTTTACACCTGCAACGCACAGGGTTTGATCCAAGTCGTGGAACGTACTGGAAAGCAGAGCAGCGGCATCCCCCGATCCGGCACGGTAGAGCGAGGGGTCTCTTAGAGGGAACAAGATCCCACTCTGTCTTGTGCTGCTTGTACCTGGTTGGTAATAAATCACCTGTTTAATGTTTTCGTCTGTGAGGATGTTTGACTTTGTGTGTTGTGAAGTCTTACCTGTGAGCGCAGAAGCACGGGGTCTCAGGGCCAATCTGTTTGCAGTCCACACCCCCKGGCACACCAAAGCTCACATACAGCCTGTTTTTCATACGCTGAGGAAGAACTTTTCTCTTGTACTCTTCGTATTGCTCCGGAGTTAGCAGTTTTCCACCATCATCATCACCCACAATCCTTTAAAAAAAGGACCAAGATTGTAACATCATCATCACCATCATCATCATCTATAGTACATCTATTGCMCTTGTTTTAAAACAAGGCCTGTTTAGGCCTGTTTTAAAAAGCGACGCCTCATTAAGTGATTTTGTCCCAAATAAGCAATAAACACAATAACTTTGTTTCAAACTGCGGACATACCTTGTGTACTCCCAGTAGTCATTCACTGCTTTTAAAGCAGACTGATCCAGACCTACTGAATCCATGGTCTGTGTGCGTTTTCCAGCCTAATGYAAAACTCCTGTTTACCACCAGAGCTACGGTTGCTATAGAGACGATTATAGACGGCCATCTAGTGGACATGAAATTAACTGCACACAATAAATTGTAATAATAAAAATATATAACCCTCGTGTTGGGAGCATGCACCTGCAGAAGAAGCAGATCTAAATGACTGCATAAACAAACAAATAAGAAATGTTGTAAATAGCTACAAGAAAGTTTATTTCATGTTTGAATTTTATTTTCTTGTGTTTATGAGTTTCTAGTTGCCTATTTTACTCATGTTTTCCTTGTAAATTACAGCACACAGACTCATTATTTTCCATAGCCTTTGAAAACAAGCTTAATTAGTGATTGTCCTCTGGATTTAAGTTAACAGGCTTAACATCTAATATGCCAGTATTATTACCTCCCTTATAATACAGAATAAATCGGCTTTAACAACAGATTTATACTTCAGCTGATTTTGGAGGTTTTATCACATTGTTAAAGTTACAATAATGTAGGGGTCACCTCGAGTCAAATTATCAAGGAACTATCTTGGACTCTCAGTCCTCTGATGGGCCTTCGACTGGACAAAAACTCTGTTCCRCTTAGAAMTGTMTTTAGGCCACCCAAGGCCACTTTCCTTCTAAATCAGATAAAAACAGAAGAATCTTCTCTTATTTGATTTAGTGTTCTCTTAACTGAAAGTATTACGCATTTTGATAATCAGAGAATGTTTATCAAAGTTACAGGAGAAGAGAGGACAGATCTCTTTTCTCCCTCAGTATGATTTCAGCTGTGTATGGTTTTTCTGTGGAAAAATTCTTATTTAACTAAAATAATCTTTATGGTTTAAGTTGATAAAATATCAATGTTTTACTTGTCTGAATCATATTTGCAAATGTTTTGAACTTGAAGCAATTCATTTTTCTTTCAGTTATGTTTTAAATAAGTGCTCATCAGCAGCAATAATCTTTGTTTTGTTTCAGGAGGCACAGCGAGTTCTGAAAATAACACTTTCCTTGATAATTTCTTTTTCTAATCTAACCTTCTGGAGGGCGGACCAYAGATTCTCTAAGCTTTTAGGAACTAACAGTTTCCGCCCGTCTAGTCAGAGAAAAGAAAGAGAGTGAAAAAAGGGTGACTGACCACCGTCAGTCACTGTGACAGCTAGATTCTCTCAGGGGAATCAAAAGCTGAAAACTGTGTCAGKTTTGGCCCCTTCACGCCAACGGGGAAACCTCACAGTGTGGAAAACAACGCCTGGTTTATCCACCTTCAGAAACTCTCCAGATGGAAGTTTTATTTAAAACCTGGGTTCCATTCGAGGCCTTGTCTTCTGGTTACGGCTGACGTGGACGCTAAACGAGTCAAAGAGCACGCCTTGGGGTCCCCTGTTCGACGGTCTAAAGACAGATTCTCCAGCAGAGCCCTCATCTACCTGGCAGGTGACAGAACATCATCTCAAGGTAAAAGCTGGCTGTGTGTGACGTCGAGGTCTGACCAAAGCTGAGCACAGAACGCTTCGCCCTTCTGGTTAAAACCCACATTATTTAAGATAAAGAGTAGAAAAGCTAACACCTTTCTTCAACCCTTTTCTTAACTTTGCCCTTGCCAACCCTAAGATAAACAGCCTCAAATGTCTGGTGTTTGACATCTAATCTGACGTTTGTGTTTCTATTTAAGTGTGCTTAACAGTTAAGAAGTTAAAAGCTTGTTATTGTTGGTCCCAAAACTTTATTGGAAATTAATTGTTCACAATCAGGTGTACTCTATAGTCAATTTTGTATGATTTGTAAAATAAATGATCGCATATCATGGTTCAAATCAACATTCACTGACTGAGAGTTACTTTTTGTGTCCATTCATTTTTGCACTAAAGAAATGTTTATCCAAAATAAAAGAGATCCTTGCTAATTAAATTACTCTTATAACCTTGTTATAAGAAGTGTAAGATAAACCCTTACAATAATACACAAAATATTTTGTTAATGTTAATCTTTAGCTATGGCTTTGGTAATTTTAGTTAGCTTTTCTCATTTTAAGTTTTAGCTACTTTTCTGCTTATGCTTGAAGACTATTTTTGTTTAAAAAAAATTTCGAGAAAAGGGGCAGATATAAATCCTTTCTTCTTCTGCTACCTTTCATTTATGACTAAACTAAACTTATTTAACTTTTGAACTATTATTGGGCCTACATTTTAGCCACTGTTTTTCTAAATGTATTTTGTCCCTTGTGTTTAGCAAATTTTAGATTATAAGTTCTGTTTAGCAACAATTAGGTTTTAGCTACCTTTCTGCTCATTTACCTTTTTTTGCGACTGTATTACTGGGCCTAGATTAGCCATTGTTTTTTCTTATTTCAACCCCAGTTCAGTTAATTTTAGATTCTAGGTTGTTTTTAGCAATGTTTAGGCTTTAGCTTCTGTTTTGCTGATTTTAACTTGTTGCTGTTCTGTGGGAATTTGATTTCAGCTAATTTTACCTTTTAGCTGCTCATTTAGATTTTACCCAGTGTTTTGCTAATATAAGGTTTTAGCATTGAATTGCTATTGTTTAGGTGGATTTAGCTTTTAGCAACATTTTGGCTGATTTAACGTCTCATTAGTCCAGGGGTGCCCAAACATTTTCTTTAAGAGGGCCAAATTAAAATCAATCTGAGGGCTGAGGGCCAAATGCATATAATACATGAAATGCAAATACTTCTTAAGTAAAGTTGATTTATTTTTTATGATTAAGCTAGCAGCCAGTGTGATGGCCCACATTTATTTTTATTTTATTTTTTGCTTTTTCAGCCCATGGATGTGGAGAATATCTGATGTACAGTATGCTCAGGCATTAATGGCTCATGGAACTTTTCATAAATTAAAATTTGAGTATTTTTGGTCTTATAAAGCATGCAAATCTAGATGTGTGCTTAAATCTAATCTTAATATTTATTGTAGTTACTTCTATTTTATGTTGAATCTTGAGTTAAATCTACTGCATTATACTGTATTTTATATAGCTGGATCAATGGTTGAAAAGATTAAGTGGAAATAAGGTGTTTCTACATTAGACAGGAGATTACAACCTATTAGCCAAGACAACTGCTGGTGGGCCAAATCAAATGGCTTGGCGGGCCAATTTTGGCCCACGGACCCCAGTTTGGGCACCTCTGCATTAGTCTGATAATTATAGATAGGCCTACTGGTTTTCACACAGGTTTTTCCTGCTGTAGTTTTGGTTTCTTTTACTGTTCTGCTCATATTAGTTTGTGCTCTGATAGTTTCAGCTTTTGCATCAGGTATTTGTCTAATTAAATCAATTTCATTCAATTAATTTTAACCTTTTAAGTTAACCTATCAGTACGGTGGCCCAGAGGTGTCTTGTGTCATACTGTATCAGCGTTTTGAAAAATATAACTACATTTACCATGATGCAACAGTGTGAACGCAGGCTGAAGACGTCTGTCGTCTGAACCATGACATTAGTTGGACAGTTGCATGCTTACAAGTGCGGCTGCTCAGTTTGTGAAACAGTTGTTACTGTACCGAAGTAATAGGAGTCAGAAACATAACCAGGACGAGGGGATTTGTGGATATGTCGAATATAAATTAGCATATTGTCTTTTTATTATTATTATTATTATCAGGCGAACGGAACTGCGATCAACCCAAGACGTTTTTTCACCGCAGGAGAAGCAAAAACAGCCCCGGGGCGGTGAAAGCAGCTGCCAGCAACGATGTCCGCCGAGGCTCGGCCAGCTTCCCTGCGCAGTCTGCTCATGTCTTTCCGTGTCCTAAGGTATCCTCCTGGAACACACGGGCTGTACTGTTTAACTATGAACTGCCTTTATTCATTCGCTGATGATACTTTTTGTTTACCGTGTGGTTGGAGAGCTAACAGCTAGCTAACAAGATGTGCATTTTTTGTTTGTTTTTGTTGCTTTAAACTCAGCTGTAGCGAAGCCTCAGCGATACTTATCTGTAAAAAATGGCTTTTTAGTAGAAAAAGCATCCAAAGTACTTAATTTTTCACTTTAATATTTAATGACTTTCCTCATTAGGTTGCCCTGTGCAGTTTTGACATTGTGTAAACGTTAATCTAGGCAGTTCAAAACAAATGTGTCAATATTTTGTTAATAGAGTGACATTTCCTGCCCTAGTTTTCTCAGAGCTAAATAAATTTAATGATTATTCAAGTCTTTATGGGCAGCAGTAAAACTACACCTGACAGCTGTTTATGGACAATATTTAACTTGTGGGTKAACTAATCCTGCTGATGTGGTGTGCCTTATCTCAGTCTTTGGGCAAGTACACACACTTATTTTTAAATAGCTCTCCGAACAAGTCAGGTTACACAACTGAAGTATTAAAATAAACACAAGGAAAAATCTGATGGCAAGCTGTATTTGACCGTGTTCTCAGCTTCGTAACCTCTGCATCAGTAGAGGAGAGGGACGCTCTCACCACCCTCAGCAAGGACAAGAACATCATCATCCTCCCAGCAGACAAAGGAAGGTGCACAGTGATTTTGAACCAGAAAGACTACCATGAGAAGGTTATGACACTCCTTAGTGACACGACCACATACGAGCCGCTGAAAAGAGATCCAGGAAGTGGATACAAGAAGAAATTGATAGAGTGCCTGAAAAAGTTAGAGCAGTACAAGGCTATTAACCCCATTCTGTACCACACACWRTACCCAGGTGAGGCCAGTCCTAGTCTGTATGGTTCACCCAAAATTCACAAACAGGATGTACCGGTAARACCTATTGTTAATGATTAACTCTGTCACTTACAATGTTTCCAAATATCTAGCGTCAGTACTTGGTCCATTAGTTGGCATTTCAGATCACATACAGAACACCATGGACTTTGTGGACAAGGTGAGGGATGTCATCATGGAGGCGGATGAAACTATGGTCTACTTTGATGTCACATCACTCTTCACATGCGTTCCTGTTGATAAGGCGGTGGATGTGGTCTGTGCAAGATTAAAATCAGACACCACCCTTAGCAGCAGAACCAGTCTCTTTTGCATGTGACTAAATAGAGCTAATTAAGCCTATTGTTAGGCAGTGGCCCTCTTTTGCATGTGACTAACCTGTTTGTCCAGGCTGAGTTCACCTGAAACTCATCAGACTGAAGAAGTCTCTTGGAGGAGAGACGAAAGGTTTCACTAAAGAAGAACCCATCCAGAGGACCTACTTATTTTTTTCTTTTTGATTTTTTTTTTCTACCAGGATTACTGAGATGCATCAGGACAATCATAACCTCTATTTATCCCCTTTATTTTAGACTGAGGTGAATATAACTAATGTCTAACATTGTYAGGTACCCTGGTAATTGTTTTTTACCATTATGGTTAAATTTAGTTTGGTTTTGAAATGATGGAGCCTGACATGTTGCAGATCAGAGTCTGCTCTGCTGTCACGCTGCTTTCATTAAGCCGTGTTTGCATTTTACTTTTCCCTTCTTCGTCTGTTTCGTTTGCTACAGTTTTGTTTAATTCAGGTCAGAAAAAAAAAAGACCACATTTGCATCCGTTGGGATTATGTTACCTTATCTTTTTCATAATTTATTCCCTCGGTCACTGTCCTCTTTCTGAACCCAGATGGAAGYGGCACTCCCTGGAACCCACGGGAGACTAGGCAGAATGAACTTGATGACAAAGTTCTGAAAGCTGCGAAATGATTCGCTAATTGTGTGCCTGCGGTACTCGCGCCGTCCTATTTGTCTGTTCAGAAACCATTGTGTTGGTGAAACTAGCAAAAAGAACACCATCTGTGACCCTTGCTGCGGTCCGAGCTGTAAAGTGGGTCCCGTGAAATCTAAGCTAGTAATCAGGTCTCTGGACTAAAGGGCTCAGAGGGCTGAAAAGAGCTTTGTCTGAGCTATTTTTTGGGCTGGTTGTACATCCAGACTCTAAGCAGCAAAGAAATGTCTTCAGTAATAACTTAATAACTCACAAAGACACTTTGATGTAGCCTCCAGCTGCTCGCTAATAGGGGTAAATTAAATTTGTGCTGTCTGTTTAAAAACACTGAATTCATTCACTCTTTACTGAAATTCTTAATTCAAAGCACAAGATGATAAATCCCTTAAATATAAACATCGCTGCAGGAATAATTAATTTATGCAGGATGTCTTTCATTTGCAGCTACACAGGAAAACACAATCTTTATGTTTTTATGCTAACTTTGTATTTTGTATCTTTTTGTGTATTGAACATAGGAAAACCTTTGGACTTCCTGTCTGAAAACCCCTTGCTGCCTTGGGGATTTGGTGTTTGACATTTTGCACCTGGTTTCTGCATCATTCTGGTTGCACTTCCTGGCATCTGCCTTTGCTGTACTCATCTTCAYTTCCTCCAGAAGGTGCAGGATGTTCTCCACGTGCCGTGCAGCTGACGCCGAACCCGTTACTCTCAGTGGAAGAACTACAGAAAACTGAACTTCAGGACGCAACGCTCCGCTAGCGCTGCTCGTCAAATCATTGGGTCTTCACGTCTTTCCCTGCTCCACACCGGGCCCCCCCACCCACAACAACCTCCACCGTCTGCACCCCCAGTACCATGCTGGGAGCGCTCTTGCAGCGGAGGAACATGTCTCAGAAGCTGGGCGTGCTGCTGCTGGTGTTCGGCCTGGCGTGGGGACTCATGCTGCTCCGCTACACTGTGCAGCGGCCTCGACATCAAAGCAGCGCCGAGCTGCGCGAGCAGATCCTGGAGCTCAGCCGGCGATACGTCAAGGTCCTGACGGAGGAGAACCAGAATGCACCGGGTGGTCCACAAGGAACCTCCATGGCAGGTTATGGTAAGCAGTTTGAGTAGAGCTGTAGGGCAAGCCACAGATTTGTCTGTTGCAAATCTTCTCTTTCCTGTTCTGTTCCAGTCCTTTAATGCACCAGAAATAAATAGCTAATTCACATTAATAATAGCATGACTTTGATGTACATATTTTTTATTTGGAAGACTCAAAGTTAGAGAATTTTATGGTGTAATAAAGTCACTACCAAAAATAAAAAAACAAATCACTGCTGTTCACTTTAATGTGGTATCTCACTGAGCTGTGACTGCTGGCAACTCAAAATTGTGGGAAATTTGGCAAGAAACTCTCTGCTGCAGTCTCACCGAATTCTGAGTATTTGCAAGTAAGTGATCCGTGCAGGCAGCCAGTGTTTGAAAATCACAGCTTCTTTTCATGTGCACGGTTTGCTGAACTGCATTCTTGGCGGTGCAGTAGCATACAGGAATGGCTCGCCAGCTGCCAAGTGACTTACTTGAATCCATTTTATTATTGTGATCTGTAAGCAGGGGACAAACCTAAACAAAAAGTATTTTAATCATGATTATGAAGCTATACATTACCATTACTACTTTTATAAAAATTAATAGTGATAGTTTTAAAATATAACAGAAACAAAGGTGTTTTTTGCTCTATTATTTTTGCTCTTTTATTGTAAACTGAAAGGTATAGTTTGCTTTTTAGTTGAATGTTCTTGTACTTTTAGCCCTGGGAATATGGTGTAAATATTTAGTTTTTTTATGTTTAATTGTTTTGTTGTATTATCCAAACATTTAAATATATAAAATACTTTTACATACTGTGATAGTAGTTAGGAAAAATCCAAATTAACAGATTGAAACTTTATAAAAATCAGTGGTTGGAATCAGCCCAGCAAACTGTGATTGGTGCGTTTTTGGGTAAAACATTTTCCAGAAGCATAAAATTATATGACGTGTATATATATATATATACCCACCCCAAATCCACCTTCACCACACACACACACACACATACAGTATATACATATCCTATATCTATCCTCTACTTTGTTCATAATTTTCCCAACATCTGTCTGTTTCCAACAAACAGCGGACCTGAAGAGGACTATAGCCGTGTTGCTGGATGACATTCTGACTCGTCTGGTCAAGCTGGAGGGGAAAATTGAACTGGCCGTGAACGCCTCCTCTGCRAACACCTCCCACGCAGCAGGAGGACTCCTCGCCTCTGCTCCCGGAGGTCTGCAGAGAGCCTCAAAGCAGGAGCCACCTGGGATGTCACGCCTTCACCCGCACATCCCCAACAGGCTTCGACCACATTAGTGAGGACTTTTCTTTAGCTCTTTGTTTTGAAGCACATCACACTTTCTCATCACGTCTGACTGATGTAACATCAGCTGAAAGAGAACTAATAGGAGTATTTATGGACTTTCGGAATCCTATGTGTKGGACACGAGGGAGGACTTCTTGCCTGTCATACCCATTATTTTATATTTGCCTTGCAGAATTTATTTTGCTGACATATTTTTTTATTTTTTTTTAAACCATACAACTTTTGAATCTGGTGACTGTTAAATACAGAGCAAAGGCTTACAGTAGCAGCCAAAACGGAATTTATAATGTTTCCTTAAAAAAAAAAAAGTAGCACAAAATGCTCCCCATCCTCATCAAGAATAGCTCGACACTGTAGCAACATATCAAACACGCTGAGCTAAACTGTATGCTGATGATGTTTGAAAATAATGACATTTTAGGATTTTTTTAGGTAGTGATGTTGAGTTAGGTTTAAACAACACGTTAAGCATAAATACACTTTGTAGACAAGATATAATCCAAAGAAAAGGTTTTGCACTTCATAAAAGGCAATATAACTGTGTATGTGCTGGGTTTGTGTGTGTGTGGTTTGTGGAGAAGGATAGGTTGGTGCCCGTTTTCCACTTTAAACCTCTGTGTGTGTGTGTGTGTGTGTGTGTGTGTGTGTGTGTGTGTGTGTGTGTGTGTGTGTGTGTGTGTGTGTGTGT